CACCACCACCATCGACTCCCTCTCCCGCCGCCGCCGCCGCCTCATTGAAGAAAACATTTCAATAAAACAATATTTTCTTTTCTTTTTTGAAGCAAACTATATATAAAACTGCGACAAGTAAAACCACTAACCGTAATGAGTGGATAACGAGTAAGGAAAACCTCCCCTGAATCCTTTTTTTATTTTTGTGCATTGTGCATTCCATACCTAGGTTCTGCTACAAGTCTGCGCGTTCCTGAAAATGATAGTGGGCTTTGTCTGTTATTGAGAAATATTTAGGGTGAGTTTGGATAGGTTTTTTTAGGAGGGAAGGGAAGGAGTTGGGGAAGTTACAATAATAACCATCTTAAAACTATATTTGTTTATATTTCTAGTAAGTGAGGGGAAAGATTGGGAGGGTAAAAAGAAGTGAACAAGTTGGGAGGGAAGAGGTTGGATTTTAATTGAATTGCTCCATTCTCTTCCTATTTTCTCATCTAAATAAACACAAATTGTTGTGCGCAGCGGCTAAATTGTTGTGCTTCGAGGAACCAAACCAAACGTCGAGATAGAAGGCTAAATAATCCAAGATAATGGCACAAACGCAAACAAACGAATTTTACATGGTTCGGCAAGTTGCCTATGTCCAGAGGCAAGAAGGGGATGGGGTTTTCACTAATAGAGAGGAAGAGTACAAACTGAGATCACTCAAAATAACCAACTAATCTCACCAACAAATCTCTAATTCTCTCCATATAAAACTCTAACTAATAACTCAGAAAATACCTCTTTTCTGTGCTCCAAATATCCCCCAATCAGTGCTTAATTAAAGCCCAATCAAAGCCAAAGAAACCCTAAAAACGTGTCTCTATTTATAACAAAACACAATCCCTAACAGATTAGGATTCTAAAAAATGAGTTTGCCACACCTGGGGGTGGTAGACAACACACTTCTAAAAACATGACAGATTCTGCCACACCTGGATGTGGCAGACACCACACCTATGTCAACAGGGACAGATTCTACCACATGGATGTGGCAGACACCACACCAATGTGTGGTGGAGCCTATCTTGCTTATTTTTCACTTTTTTCTCAAATGTCTTCGTTGTTTTCACAATTCTCCACCCCGATAAAGTTTTTCTAAAACTGAGTTGACACCAACCAAATCAAACGTCTCACTTGTTGCGTCTAGTATGAAGTGGAACAAAAATATGATAACGGACTTAATCCACAACAAGTCGGGAACCCAAACGAGAATGCGAACAAACTCTAAATGTCGGTATCAACTCACCAAACCGGCTGCATCATAAATGACTACCTGTGTATTCTCTTGCCCAAGAAATCAAGCATTCACGTAGGTCACCCAACGGCCTCCAAATGTCCTCAATCAATTGAAGAGTTCTCAACCCTTCTCCAACATCACCAACGAATCAAAAATTGATAGCTCTCCCAATGGTCCCAAAGTGAAACAATCTAAACACCTCCACCTGAGGTGAACCAACAACCATAACCAAATGCGAACTATGTCCACCAGCTGCACTCGAATCCAAAACCAACTCATCATCTGCATCCAAATTTAAATGATCCCCAAACTATGTCACCTCAGTTGGAATCTCAAACGATGCAGTATGATATGGAATATGTGGAGTAATCTCCACCCAACATGGAATAGCATCACTCTCCACCCGCTGTGATATCCCAATAATTTGATCAACACTCTCCACTTGTTGAGAGTCGAATGTGAAATACCTATTCAGAACAAAATCAGAGTCTCCCAATTGATAACCAAACGAGCATCTGAATCCCAAATGTGCAATCATATCAAATCTCACATCCTCGATATGACCAAATGCTGGGCAACTAAATATCTAACACAATCCAAAATCTGAAGCAGCTCCACCAGATCCAAAATATCCAAACGCAGTAGTCGGCAACCTATAAACAAGATGACCCAAATATGTCGAAGCTCGAACACCAAAATCAATGCTCGACATCAAACACTGATCCTCCTCTAGAAAGGAATGACCAATAAAAAATATTGTCTCATCTCGTTATCCTAATATTTTCTCCCCAATGAAGTGTCTCCAACTGACATGAGCTCGGCACAAACGCAAGAAAGGACACCTACCAGAACTAGAATGATGAGTTATCTTTCAACCAATACACTTCCTCCATCTGTTGTTAACTTCGAGGACTTTATACCAACGGGACTTGGTTGTAACCCACAAATGCCTTGAACAATCACCTACTACGGAAACCAAATACCGATTACCTCCCAATGATGTATCCTTGGAAGGCCCATAAATGCCTGAATGAACACAACCTAAAAGACCCCTCGATCGATGGATAAAAGTGCCAAACTCCACCTCAGTCTTCTTGCTCATACCAATGTGGTCACAGGACTTCAATCAGCAGGTCAAAGCACTCCTCAACAAACTATGTACGATGCAACCAATCAAATAACCCGGCCTCAACAAATGTCAAAGTCTAGCCAAATCCAAAGAAGTCGTCAGCTCTCTACCAATCACTGTGCTTCCAATCAAATAATATAAATTCTTCCTCCTGACGCCCTTCATCATAATAATGGATCAAAATGTGACTTTCAAACATGCATCCTCTAAGGTCACCCTATAGCCTGCTGCCTCCAAAACTCCAAGCAAAATGATATTCTTCTTCAACTGAGGAATGAACCTCACTTCATCCAACTCCCTAATCATCTCGTCACATATCCTAATCTGAATGGTACTAATACTACCAATAGGACATTTATGATCATTACCTATGAGCACGATATCCCATCTTTCTAACTCCTGAAAGCTGGAGAACCAATCCCTCATAGGACAAATGTGGTATGAAGCACTCGAATTCAACATCCACTCCGTAGAATCGACAACACAAACTGACAGTAGTGCAGATAATGAGTAACCCAAAGAATCCGAATCTAAATTGTCGTCACTAGCATTGGTAACATTCACCTTGAAGCTTGAGTAGCTTTCCATTTATTCTTTCCGGCTCGATCTGTCAACTTTGGGCATTCGGCTTTCCAATGTTCATCTTCTTTACAAAAGACATACTGATTCGTACGAATTCCAGGATGTGCCCCTCTAGACTACGACCTCCTATTTCAGTTTGGACTTTTTGCTCTTACGACTAATGCCCCCGTTACCGGCCCAATTGAAGTCTCATTATCCTTCTTTTGAAGCTGATAATTCACAAATACAGCGGTGCCTCACTATATGAAAGACATGCCTTCCCATTGATAAGAGTAAGAACGAATGTCTCATATTCCTCGTCAGGCAAGGAACTCAACAACAACATCATCTTGTCCTCATCTTCAATAATCACATCTACATTCGTCAAATATGTAAGAAGCTTCGTGTAGTGGTTCATGTGATCACCAATGGAGGTTTTTTCTTCAATTGGAAGCGGTAAAGCCTCCTCTTCAAATGCAAGCGATTCTTCACACTCTTGGTCAAATACTTGCTCTCAAGGATCTCTCAAATCTTCTTAACCGAAGTCTCATTGATACATCATATTTCAAATCTTGAGTCAAACAAAACCTAATCACATCACACGCCGTTCTATTCATCTTCTTCCAAATATTTTCCTCAATATCGTCCGGTTTCCCGTGTAACTCTAACGTATCCTCCAAATTTTGCACATTGAGTGTATCCAAGACTTCGCATCGCCAAAGTCTAAAATTGTTAGTGCTATTAACAGAGATAGATTCTGCCACCTAGGTGTGGTAGACACCACACCAGGGTGTGGTAGAGCCTGTCTTGCTTATTTTTTACTTTTTTCTCAAATTCCTTCGCCGTTTTCACACAAATTAGTTCCATCCCTCTCCATTTCCTCAATGATCAAGCAATTCAATAAACCTATGGTTATCAACCAAATAACGCAATTTCCAAGTTCACAATAAATTACTATCAAATGATGAAACAGTAATGGTTAGATTCTGAAACAATAATAGTTAGATTTTGAAACAGTAATGGTTTGTAGACAGAGAGATAACTTGTTAGATTTTGAAACATTAATAGTTAGATTTTGAAACAATAATGGTTAGATTTTGAAACAGTAATGGTTTGTAAACAAAGAGATAACTTGTTAGATTTTGAAATAGTAATGATGAGATTCTGAAACAGTAATGGCTAGGTTTTGAAACAGTAATGGTTTGTAGACATAGAGATAACTTGATCTTGGACAAATTTTTGAAAACAACACTTTTGCAAAATTAATGAGCAAAATCTACCTTCTTCAAAAAAATAGCAAAATCAGTAACCACCCTCGACTCCCTCTCCCGCCGCCACCACCGCCTCATTGAAGAAAACATTTCAACAAAAAAAATATTTTCTTTTCTTTTTTGAAGAAAACTATATATAAAACCGCGACAAGTAAAACCACTAACCGTAATGAGCGGATAACGAGTAAGGAAAACTTCCCTTGAATCCATTTTTTTTATTTTGTGCATCGTGCATTCCATATCTGGGTTCTGTTACGAGTCTGCATGTTCCTGAAAATGATAGCAGGCTTTGTCTGCTTTTGAGAAATGTTTAGCGTGAGTTTGGATAGGTT